GCGTGTGTGAGTGTGTATGCTCTCATGCATGTACACGTAAGCTAGAACGGCTTTGCGACCACGTTATCTTTGCATACAAAACAAATGCCAGTTTTTTTTATCTCTCTCACACATAGGCCAATCAGACTTGAGAGAAAATCAACGCTCCTGATAAACAAATCCAAATATTACAAGTAAAGAAATAGTACAGAGCATAGTGTTCCACAACACTGCCATCATACTTGCGAGGCAAAAACTGGGGGGGGGAGGGAGAGAGAGAGAGAGAGAGAGAGAGAGAGAGAGAGAGAGAGAGAGAGAGAGAGAGAGACAGGACAGGGTAAATAAGAGCTATGATATGACCCACTGACCTACTTCCCTGTCCTGCTGTGACCCACTGACCTACTTCTCTGTCCTGCTGCGACCCACTGACCTACTTCCCCATCCTATTGTCCCCCCAGAGAGGACTACCTTGAGCTAAGGGTCTACCTGAACTCCATGCTGATCCGTCACGAGCGACATGAGCCACAGTACACTTTCAACTCCATCTTTGGTGAGACCGCTCAACACAATGTTGTTTTGTTTTGTTTTGTTTTTTATTTTATTTTTATTTTGTTTGTTTGTTTGTTTGTTGTTGTTTTTTTTTAAGTAGTTTTACTACGCCCCCAATCAACACAATTTAGATAATATTGGAAGTGAGCTTCCGACCCTGCATGTCAGGGATAACTCGGAATGAGAGGAATACAACATCCCAGCAGGAAAACAGGGATACTCGATAAAAATTTCTCCCCACTCGGGAATCAAACTTGGGACTCCTGCGTGCTACAGCAAAGCGCTTAACCGCTACATCACAGGCGCTTGTCGTCCAAAGAGAGCTCTGAGGACATCTTTCAGTTGTTGTTTGTTTGTTTTAGTAGAGGTTTTACGGCGCTCGCAACTGCATATGAGCACCAAGGGGTGGATGTCAACAGAGAAGTCCTTACAGAGAATCAGGCTTACTCTGCTCACCTCTCTAGCTTCAACAGCACAAAGTCTGCTTCGACTATCAAGGCACCCACCCCGGAAATAGCAAGTCACAAGAGAGTGACAAACATACAAAAGAAGTACAGGAAAAATGACGATAGTAGGGATTAGGAGAGAAAAAGCAGCGGTTCTCTGTTGTAGTTCAGACACAGTTATAAGCATGACATTGTTGGATCAGCCCATTGACAATTCTACTGTGCATTAGAACTAGAAATGCCCCCCCCCCCCCTTTGGGAATGGCCTAAACTAAAGACACTTAAGTCAGTGGCACTGCCCCGGGGGATAAGGACATTTTTCAGACGCTGAAAAAATGTGCCAAATAGGCTCCAATGTGTCTTGTTGACACACACAAAAAACACGATTAGATGATTTGCGGGTGCTTTGGTGCGGATCGTTTTTTCTTTACTCTCTCACACCTATCGTTTTTATTTCTCCCTATTCTTTTCTTTGTATGTTACTCTCTTGTCCGACCTCTAATCTCTGACACTTATAATTGACCGATATGTGGCAAAGTACCCAAAGAGTCTTACTAGAGACAAGAAAGGTTGGCGTACACTGTCTCTGGTCTTACTTAAACAAACATAAACTACTACTACTCCCTTTTCGCAGGTGAGTGGTTGGCGGGTGCTCTGGTGTGGTTTGCTCCTCCTTTCCTATTTAACATCTATCGTCCTTATCTCTCCTACTTCTTTTTGTGTTTGTTACTCCCTTGTGACATTTCTAGTCTTCGGTATCAATGTGACCTTATTGTGTTGCGAGTGCCGTTAAACTCTAACTACAACAACTCGCTCTCCTACTCCTATAACTTTTCCCCACTCCCCCCCCCCCCCCTGCAGCGATGTCAGTGGCTTAGTGGTTAGGCTACCGGGCTCGTAATCGTGAGATTGCGGATTCTGGGGTTCGAGCCTCAGCTCGGTCCGACGTTGTATCGTTGGGAAAGGTACTTTACACGAATTTTCCATGTCCCTCGGTCCTTTCGGAGATGGACGTTAAACTCGTAGGTCTCGGCTCTTAAATAACCAAACAGTGTTGACAGGGGCGTTAATAATTTTACTGGAATTTATGAAATGTATAACACCACAAGTATAAAAAAGATCATAAGAATTATAAACAATCCATGACACCCCCTTTCAACGCAGATATGTATCTCTAAAAACCACCCAAAAAAGAGAAAGATATAGACGAATTTTTTTACCACCTAGCATAAGGCTATTGTCAGAATAAGTATCAATATGTATCTATATAGCTCTAGAGGCTTTGTAATTAAGTTCCTGCATGTGGTTGAATGATGAATCTGATGTGATATGTACATTTTGTCAGCTTTACTTCTGTTTACATATTGAATTTTAATGAGAGTAATTAATATCTGAACATTTTATGTATACCTACCCGCATGTGCTTTTACGGTCCCGTACCGCCCCAAAAAATTTCCTACTGGGATAATAAAGTATTATCTTATGTTATCTTACCGTATCTTATCTTATCTTAAATCTATACCTTTTTGCCCCCCCCCGCCCCCCGCCCCCCACCCCCTCAGCGTTCCTGGGTGGACAGATGGGATTCTTCATGGGCGCCAGTCTCATCACCCTGGCCGAGCTCCTGGAGACCCTGCTCTTCTCCTGCTACGTCTTCCTCTACAAGAAAGTCCTCATGATGGGGCAGATGAGCACCAGGAAGGCAAAGGTCAGACCCGCCAAACAGGCCTGGTAGCGGCGGGAACGTTGACCTAGATATACCATACTGTGTTGTTCTACCATCCTCTCGTCGATATCCTAAGGATACCAGAGGAAGGAAAATGTTCGTAAGTTCTACCTCCCGTCGGCTGATGTTGTCTCAGGAAACACTCGCTTGGACAACGCTAGGCGCCTGGTGTTATTAACAGGCCTGGTAGCGGCGGGAAAGTTGACCTAGATACATACGGTCCTGTCTTGTTCTACCTCCCACGGGGGCTGATGTTGCCCCACCAAACACACGCTTGGACCGTGCCGCCTGGTGTCGTTAACAAACGATGTGATCTCGTACTGGCTCCTCGTGGGCGGAGATCCCAGAATGTTTCACCCCACGACTGGCGGATACTGACGCGAAGATCCTGGGATTTCTTTCTCAACAAGACTTACGAATTCTTACACGGAGTGAGATCTATAGCGTTGTTCACAGCGCTTTGAGCTTGTCATGAACGAGACCCTTTTCGACATGACTGCTGGATTCTTGTACTAGAATCCTGTTGGGGTTTTTTTCATCATGGTTTGTGAATACTAACACGGAGATCGTGGGTTTCTTATCTTCATGACTGGCGACTTTCTTACAACACGGAGATACAACGCTGTCCTCAGCGCTCCGAGATCTTCGTGTACGGAGATCCTGTTTTTTTGTTGATTGTACGCCCTGACTGGCTAATAATAATATGAACACCGTTCGATTGTTCGTGGATTTGGTGTCGCTTGCTTCGAACCGTTCAGGGATACGATTGTTCAGACTTCAAACTTCGAGCTGTTCGGAGATACCTTTGTTCAGACTTTAAAGTTCCAACTGTTCGGAGATACGATTGTTCAAACTTTTCAGACTTCAAACTTTCGCCCATTCGTAGAGACGATTGTTCTCAGCCCTCCGTACCTTGCTCCACACAGATCCTGACGGCTGGAGTTCTGAGTTTGGTGCTGTACAGTTTACTGTGGGTTTCCATGACAACGGCGACCTTGCG